TAAGTTATGTTAAAATCTCTTTTCAATATGTCACTATAGTATATTATGAGAGCTCAATAGCAATACTAAAAAATTAGCTTAGAATATGAAATGATGAAAAACACGAGTAGAGATGATGATGTGGTATGCTTACTAAAAAAAGTATGGAAGCGATTATGGTTTTTCTTTTTTTTTTTCATAAAAATGATGAGACAAAAATTTCATATTAATTAAATATAAAAACATCAACGAGATGAAGATGATATGAGATACCTAAACTCATTCCCGTCCAAATAACACCTACATGTAAAGAATTAAAAAAGATAATAATAAGTTTAATTAATAATTTAATATTATATATATATATATATATATATATATATATTTTCAATCAATTGAGTTATAATATTTGTTAAATAAAGTTAATTTTATTTCTTTCGTTAAATTGATAATAATAGCACTTAGTCACTGTCAAAATTTGGTTAATCTTTTATGCAATTCCAAAACAAAAGTTCTCAAAAGATCATGATAGAGGAAGATAGAGCAGGATGAAAAAATTTAAAATCTTAATTTTGTTTTCTTAACTACACTCAACGATAAACTAGAGTTTCAATTTCTTTGTTTCTTAAATGTGGAGGAAGGTCTTGAGAGGTGGAAAAAAAATGAAAAAAATGAGTAGGAGTGGCTTCTGAATCAATATGAATGCATAGGGAAAGTTTAAAGAAATTCAGTAGCATTGGGTTCTGAACAACATTCAGAATCAAATGCCATTAATGTCTCATTTTTGTATCCACAACTCACAACAGAAACAAAATGATGGATTTCCACACACCCCACCCACAATAAAGGGAATATCATATTTTTCAAGAGTATTCTGGACTCGGTACTGATGGTAAAGCATGAGAGAGATATAGCAGAAAACACATGATATACATAAATATGGAACTTGAGGAGGAAGGGAATATTCATTCTTAGACTTTCTCATAAGTCCAGCATTTCATTTCATGTCTCAGCTGCAACTACTTCCCCGTTGGTTTTCTCTTGAATTGTACTCTTCTCATTGTCACCTTCAAGCTGGCTTAAATTTCCCTTCTCCTTGATCAGTTGAATGTGATGGTGTTTGCAGTAGAGTTTTCCATCGTGTGCAATGTAATTAGAGGGACTAATAACACACCCTCCATGAGTGCATTTGAAACAACTCTTATGATAAGGAGTTCCATTCACCGTCACCTACACCATTTCAAAATATATAAAACTTAATATCCCTTTCTCAAATAGAATGGAAATTTTATCACTTGGGTTGGCATCGTGGTTTAAATTAGAAAAGGAGCTGCGATGGATTCTTTGCACTTCTGAATGGTGCCACTAAAATGTCTCACTGATGAAATTTAAGGTTGTGTTGTTACCTTTTCAGTGGGATACACTGTTTTCTGACAACCAGCACATTTGTCTCTGGTTCCACCAAACATATTCAAGACCTTGGTTGCTGCAGGTTTCTGATCAGAAACAACACAAAATTAGATGAAGGCTAGGTAACTGACATGTTCATGAGCGCAGATAACTCATTTTCTAATACATTTGTTATTATTGATTTAAATTTATTAAACATTAGATTCATTAAGAATTCAATGTACAAAATTATATAACTTTTGATCAATAATAAAATTTATGTTTAACAGAGTGTGTTAACCTGTTTTATTGTGCATTAGTAGGCATGAAGATTTAAAAATGATTACCTCTTCGCCAGTTTTGTCTGGTTTAGCAATTTTTGGTGTCCCTGATCAGCCAAAAGGAAATAAAGATAAGTGACCCCAGAAGGAAAAAATAGCGAGGCTTTGAATAATTGGATTTTGGATCCTGTGTTACCTTCGAAGCTTTTGTCAAGACTACCAGTTCTTTTGAACAGTTGATCGAAGTGTGGCTTGCAGTAAAGAACTCCCTCAAAAGAGTTATAGTTGCTAAGCTGCAAATACATTACTAAATCAATATAGTTCGTAAAAATTAAATCTAGTTACACGCCTTAAATCAGTAAACTTCAAAAATTAGTACACATTGCCAGAAAAATTAGCAGAACATCTGGGGAATCATACAAAAACTTAACATTTACAAATCAATTTTCGTTTTTGATGAAAAACAAGTGAAGGGTAGAAGGCAGAGTTAGATCCACTTATCTCAACGAACTAGAAAAAGAAAAATAAAACAAATAGTAATAGAGAGATTTAGCAATACATCTTTGGATGGATTCTTGTTGAGGTTTGATACTTTTTTTCCACTGGTTAATTTCACAACCTGGCTAATACTTTTGTAAACACAGAATTATCAGTCAAAGCAAGTGCTGAAATTGATGCCTCTGGTTTGTTCGAATTATCAAGAAACAAGAGACACCAGATCCAGGGACAGAAAGATCTGAACTAGAGTCAAACACTAGAAAACCAAGAAGAATTATGAAATGATATATCTGTAGATACAAATCCAAAGAGGTTAGTCAGAAGAGACAGACCTTGAGTGTTCCTTTGCAGTGGTGGCATCTGAAGCAAGCCTTGTGGAACACTCGATTATCCGCAGTTAACTTATCAACCAGATAAACTGTTTTGTCACAAGCCATGCATTTCTGAGTTGTTCCTGCAAATGCCATATTTCCGAATTCTCTTCCCTTAGCAAGGTGCAACAGAGCTATATGATCCCTCTGTACGCCTTAAGTAGATTTTTCTTGGTAAGAGGAAGAGCAAAACGATGAAAAAGAGGAGATAAGGCAAAAGGGGGGGTGGTGAAATGTGGGAGGCAGGAGACAAAAGCAGACACCCCAACAAATATACTGTCATTGACAATCATTTTGTCTAATATTTTAACCACCTAACTCACATTTTCTCTTACACATTTTTAATGTCTTCAACTGTTAAGTTAAATGCGTCACACTAAAAAACAAGAAACAACCACAATAACATAATTTGTACGCAACAAAGAAGATGAAGTTTAACTTTTGAGCCAAGTGTTATGGGCATTTTTTCTTTTCTACCATCACCATTACATTTGTTTTTTTACTACTTTATCAAGTTTGGAAGATGCAGAATCATTATTTCATATATAATGTAAGATAGGTGGAGACCATGACCCTACCTATCATAACTCACTGGCGTTTGACCTAAATCTTTTGCAAAGTCCTTTCTGTTTATTATTGTATCATTCAATTAAATTATAGAATAGCCAAAGTCTCCAACTGAGTCCTTATTTGATTAATTAACATTATAACAAACTAGTAAGAATACAGCTATCATTATTATGGTTATGAAATACAGTCAATATAATTAAAAAAGTTAAATTATTATGAACCAAAAACAGTTATCAAGATATAAAGAATAACATTGTAAAAAAAATGTAAGAAAATAGTTACAAATATAATTATTTATTAATGATATAATTAACTAAAAAACAGGTACAAGATGATTACATTTGTAACGTGGGGTTCCATCTGGCTTGCTTTCATTGTCGAATCCCACTTTTTAAACAGTATGACAGATTTTTCTTGAGTTAGAAGGGATGAATTGCATTCTTAAGTTATAATAACTGTATAGGCTCCTGCATTTTCTTAAGTTGCACTAGTTTTACGTTTACCATTTGGAGTCAAATATGTTATGATATATTGGGTTGGGGATTTTACTTGTTTATGGAAAAGATGGGGGATCAACGTCAGGGTGTATAATTTAGCACAAAGTACCTAAAATGATGGGTTTGGTGTGTCTGCAATCTTCAGTAACACTCCAATTATGATGACAGCTTGCATTTAATATGTTTTTGTCCCACACCATGCAACTTCAAAGTCTGTATCTAGGTAAGTGAAGTGTCGCCAACTCTAGCTTTAGATTTAATTAATCTGTCAGAATCTGACAAGGAGGGCATTTGGTCTAGTGGTATGATTCTCGCTTTGGGTGCGAGAGGTCCCGAGTTCGATTCTCGGAATGCCCCTAATTATTTTGCAAATAAAGTTTTTTTTTTTTTTGGGTTTTACATCTGTTGTATGTGGGCGGTTTTCGGATAGAGATAATCAGTGCTTATGATTTCTGCTTCTGCTTGTATGGTGTAATGCTGAGTCGTGTTGATTTGTTTTTAGAGTTTCTGGATTGAGTGTATGTTGTTTGATGAAATGCATGGCTGTTTGGTTAAGTGATTTGTTGTCAAGATCGCGAGTATGGGAGGATCGTGCAAGACGGGAAGGTCGCGGATTGCAGTATCGGTATTTTGCTCGTGAAAGCATTTGTGCGGGCTCGAGCTTTGTCCAGTTCGGATGCCAACACATGTAGTTGGGCTTTCCGGATAGGGTTTATAATGACCCAATTTTAAAAAAAATAATAAAAGAGACCTGTTTTTTTCCTAGGGTTCTCCATCGCAGATCAGAACCAAACAGCATCCTGCTCTGGTCGACTGTGTCCCCGACCATCACAGCGTACCCATTATAACGCTGGCGTCGTAGGTATCAGCCATCACAGCACTCGCGTGTTATTGCCGACGCTTGCATCACCGTCGATAGGGTTCGCGTCACTATCTCTTACTCTTGCATCACCATCACCGGCGTTGCCTTCATCACCACCGGCTTTGCCTTCATCTTCGCCGGTCTTCGCCGACAGTGACACCAACTGTTGGGGTGCGTCGATCTTTGTTTTGGCTGTTGTGAGTTTTTCTTCTCAGAGATACTTCTTATTTTATTATTTTAGTAAAATGTGACAATTTAAAACATATTTCTTCTCAGTTTTCTGATCTAAAATTTGTTTTTTCTGGTCTTGCTGCCACTTAGATTTGGAGTGTTATGCAAAGTTCGTAATTTTCACTAATCCATTATGAATTTATTAGTTGTTATGAGTTATTTTATGTTATGAAACTAGTATTGGATGTAAACATTTATAATTTGAGTTATTTTTGGTCGCATTATTACTATTAGTTTATAATTTATTTTCATGTACATAAATATAGTTTTCCATAAATCTTCCTAACTCTNCAAAATTATATAACTTTTGATCAATAATAAAATTTATGTTTAACAGAGTGTGTTAACCTGTTTTATTGTGCATTAGTAGGCATGAAGATTTAAAAATGATTACCTCTTCGCCAGTTTTGTCTGGTTTAGCAATTTTTGGTGTCCCTGATCAGCCAAAAGGAAATAAAGATAAGTGACCCCAGAAGGAAAAAATAGCGAGGCTTTGAATAATTGGATTTTGGATCCTGTGTTACCTTCGAAGCTTTTGTCAAGACTACCAGTTCTTTTGAACAGTTGATCGAAGTGTGGCTTGCAGTAAAGAACTCCCTCAAAAGAGTTATAGTTGCTAAGCTGCAAATACATTACTAAATCAATATAGTTCGTAAAAATTAAATCTAATTACACGCCTTAAATCAGTAAACTTCAAAAATAAGTACACATTGCCAGAAAAATTAGCAGAACATCTGGGGAATCATACAAAAACTTAACATTTACAAATCAATTTTCGTTTTTGATGAAAAACAAGTGAAGGGTAGAAGGCAGAGTTAGATCCACTTATCTCAACGAACTAGAAAAAGAAAAATAAAACAAATAGTAATAGAGAGATTTAGCAATACATCTTTGGATGGATTCTTGTTGAGGTTTGATACTTTTTTTCCACTGGTTAATTTCACAACCTGGCTAATACTTTTGTAAACACAGAATTATCAGTCAAAGCAAGTGCTGAAATTGATGCCTCTGGTTTGTTCGAATTATCAAGAAACAAGAGACACCAGATCCAGGGACAGAAAGATCTGAACTAGAGTCAAACACTAGAAAACCAAGAAGAATTATGAAATGATATATCTGTAGATACAAATCCAAAGAGGTTAGTCAGAAGAGACAGACCTTGAGTGTTCCTTTGCAGTGGTGGCATCTGAAGCAAGCCTTGTGGAACACTCGATTATCCGCAGTTAACTTATCAACCAGATAAACTGTTTTGTCACAAGCCATGCATTTCTGAGTTGTTCCTGCAAATGCCATATTTCCGAATTCTCTTCCCTTAGCAAGGTGCAACAGAGCTATATGATCCCTCTGTACGCCTTAAGTAGATTTTTCTTGGTAAGAGGAAGAGCAAAACGATGAAAAAGAGGAGATAAGGCAAAAGGGGGGGTGGTGAAATGTGGGAGGCAGGAGACAAAAGCAGACACCCCAACAAATATACTGTCATTGACAATCATTTTGTCTAATATTTTAACCACCTAACTCACATTTTCTCTTACACATTTTTAATGTCTTCAACTATTAAGTTAAATGCGTCACACTAAAAAACAAGAAACAACCACAATAACATAATTTGTACGCAACAAAGAAGATGAAGTTTAACTTTTGAGCCAAGTGTTATGGGCATTTTTTCTTTTCTACCATCACCATTACATTTGTTTTTTTACTACTTTATCAAGTTTGGAAGATGCAGAATCATTATTTCATATATAATGTAAGATAGGTGGAGACCATGACCCTACCTATCATAACTCACTGGCGTTTGACCTAAATCTTTTGCAAAGTCCTTTCTGTTTATTATTGTATCATTCAATTAAATTATAGAATAGCCAAAGTCTCCAACTGAGTCCTTATTTGATTAATTAACATTATAACAAACTAGTAAGAATACAGCTATCATTATTATGGTTATGAAATACAGTCAATATAATTAAAAAAGTTAAATTATTATGAACCAAAAACAGTTATCAAGATATAAAGAATAACATTGTAAAAAAAATGTAAGAAAATAGTTACAAATATAATTATTTATTAATGATATAATTAACTAAAAAACAGGTACAAGATGATTACATTTGTAACGTGGGGTTCCATCTGGCTTGCTTTCATTGTCGAATCCCACTTTTTAAACAGTATGACAGATTTTTCTTGAGTTAGAAGGGATGAATTGCATTCTTAAGTTATAATAACTGTATAGGCTCCTGCATTTTCTTAAGTTGCACTAGTTTTACGTTTACCATTTGGAGTCAAATATGTTATGATATATTGGGTTGGGGATTTTACTTGTTTATGGAAAAGATGGGGGATCAACGTCAGGGTGTATAATTTAGCACAAAGTACCTAAAATGATGGGTTTGGTGTGTCTGCAATCTTCAGTAACACTCCAATTATGATGACAGCTTGCATTTAATATGTTTTTGTCCCACACCATGCAACTTCAAAGTCTGTATCTAGGTAAGTGAAGTGTCGCCAACTCTAGCTTTAGATTTAATTAATCTGTCAGAATCTGACAAGGAGGGCATTTGGTCTAGTGGTATGATTCTCGCTTTGGGTGCGAGAGGTCCCGAGTTCGATTCTCGGAATGCCCCTAATTATTTTGCAAATAAAGTTTTTTTTTTTTTTGGGTTTTACATCTGTTGTATGTGGGCGGTTTTCGGATAGAGATAATCAGTGCTTATGATTTCTGCTTCTGCTTGTATGGTGTAATGCTGAGTCGTGTTGATTTGTTTTTAGAGTTTCTGGATTGAGTGTATGTTGTTTGATGAAATGCATGGCTGTTTGGTTAAGTGATTTGTTGTCAAGATCGCGAGTATGGGAGGATCGTGCAAGACGGGAAGGTCGCGGATTGCAGTATCGGTATTTTGCTCGTGAAAGCATTTGTGCGGGCTCGAGCTTTGTCCAGTTCGGATGCCAACACATGT